GGCCCCCCACTCCACCAGTCGGCCCCGGCTCGAAGCCACTTGGCTCCAGCTCTGAGGGTCAGCAAAATGAACCCCAGCAAGTGCCTGGAGGCACCGCACTCCACCCGCAGGCCTCCTGCTTCAAGGTGCTCAGTTTTCTCACTCCAGGGTCCGGAAGCCCACCGTCTATCTCCTGCCGGGTCTCCTGGATCCGTTTCTGCCACTGCTTCCTGCCATCTCTCGCTGTCTCAGCCAAGGGCCCATCTCTTGCTCTGTCTCTGCGTCGAGGAGGTTCAGCACCAGATCGAGGTGCAAAGGATGCACTCCACCCCTGGCTCTTCTTTCTTGATGGTAGTTTGCACTCCGCCCCTGGCTCTTCTTTCTTGATGGTAGTGAGCTCTCCCTTTCCACCCCTGAGATGACCCACCTTAAGCCTAACAGGATAGCAAAACTGACTGAGGTCCATCTGAGGGTTCCACGTACCTTATTTGCATGGTCCCACCCCCACAAGTGTACCATGCCCCCTATTGACATTATTAACAAGTTATCCAATCCCCTCGGTGGGCCACAGGTACCTCACATTTGCAAAGTCCCACCCAGTCATTTGGTAGGAGTCACCAACATTAAGGCCAGAAGGGCCATATTAAGGCATTCACTACACCCCACCACACTACTTACAACATATTCACGTTACAATGAACCACACTCATGACTTTTTCTGAGGAGGGTACATCTTATCATATTAGGGAGCTCTGGTGGCATAGTTCCTAAGGTACTTGACTGCTAACCAGAAGGCTGGCGGTTCAAACCCACCAGCCACTCCTCGGAAGGAAGGTTGGACAATCTACTTCCGTAGTGATACTGCCTCGGAAACCCAAGGAGGGGTCACTATGAGTCGGATCTGACTTGACGGCAGGGAGTTCAGTTTTGGTTTTATCACTAGTAACATGTACCACATACAATGTCACAGCCTATAATTTAATGATGTCACCTTCCTCGTGCCAACTCCCAAAACCAGATACAGATTGGATTTATAGAGATACTGATAATAAACAGCGATAGTAATGAAGACTGAAGGAAAAAATATGGGGTCTTCAGGTGATATCAGAACCAACTTAGAACACAGTCACTGGAATGGAACCCTGTCCTAAGTTGGGAATGACCCGTAGTGGTTTAGCTTAAGTGGAGAAGAGTGTTTGCATTAAGTGTTAGGCTCCTTCGAGGAATGACCTTGACCCTGACCAGTCCTCAGATTACAAATGTTAAGTCTGTCTTTAAGTCTAATTTGTACATAAACGGACAAGTTAGGTACGTCATATATCTGATGTCAGCTAGTCCAATGTCTGTCTCAGTATACAGCATATAGGGTAC